CCCAGGCGCACAAAAGTTGCTTTCTGTAGCTATAAGACATTAAATCTGATAAGGTCTACTAAAACGACAGTGGCCATTCCGGTCTCTCTTGTCTTTGTCAGTTCCGCCCCATCATATGTACGTATGTATGCGTGTATGGAATAAACGTTCCTTTCACCCTTCAGCTTATTATTTGCCCGGTATAGATTGCGACTGCATACTAGGCTCCGATTTCCTACATGCACGTGTAGGCCGTATTATAGTTCACGATTTACTGGTCTTAGTAAGCATGATTACTAGAATTAGCACTCTTACATTGGCATATTACATCTAACAGTAGATCCTAGTCCTCGCAGTCCAAACTTAGGAGAAACTGACACAGTTTTTAGTGAATAAAGCTAGGAGGGCGGAAGTCAGGCTGTGCTCCGGACCTCAAACATGCAGTTACTCGGAGTAGGATAAACCCGGATTCAGACACCTTTTTTGAGATCGAGGAGATATGAGCCTCCGAATTGACTTTTAATCAGCGTCACCTATGACTTAGAAATAGTGACAGGAATAGCAGTAATATCACTCACATGTATCGCTACTGAGTAGCATAGAGATAGTAGCCGTATCAGTCTCGGTCTCAGTTTCCCTAAATCTGCCTTGACATATACTTCAGCTGAATGAGGGTAGGTATTGTGGTATTACCAACGCAAAAGTCTACTGTCACTTAAGACTAAGTTAAGCGGTGTTCTGGCTTGCATTGGAGAAAACGGCCTACGCCTGATCCCGCTCGGTCATCTCGACTCTGTCTTATCACCGATTAAAGCACCCTGAGGGTTAAGAGTGCAGTAGACGGCTGCGTGTCTATTTCACTTAAGCCTCAGTCCTGCCTATAGTCACGGTCTCTGCTTCTGAGCACATGGTGGACTTCGTCGAACTCGATAGTCGAACAATCATGTGCCCCCTAGTGTCCCCTAAACAGACAACGTGATAGATGCGCTGGACCAACACGGGGAGCAGATCAGGGTACGGCTGGCG